ATGTATTGGTTTTATCTAAGGAAGCCAACTCAGAATTGCAAGCTTCTGACCACCTAGGATCCTTAATGGCTTCTTTATAAGACCTAGGTTCTAAAATAGCAGAACTGGCCAGAATATACTTCTTGTATTCTGGACTAAGATTATCCAAAGACATAACTTGAGATAAGGGATATGTAACCCCATCACATTCAACAGCACAAATATAATCATTAAGCTTCTTCGGACGTACCTTAATACGAGGAGGCCTCGCATAAGGAGGAGGTTCTTCTGCTTGAATGATATCAACAAGATCTAGGGGTTCTTCAGGTAATAGAGAAGATGAATGTGATACCTCATTAGAAGAAATAGGAAGTAATGGAGGTTGTGAGGTACTGGCAGAATTAGAAATGACTGTTTCCTGAACTTGAATGCATGGAAAACAAAAGTCAAAATCAAGAGTTGAGTTGGAAGTAGCAAATGTGAAAACATGCTCGTGAAAAACAGTGTCCCTTGAGTAAAAAATATTGTGGGAAACCAGATTATAGAGTCTGTGTCCTTTAACAGTATTAAGGAAACCTAAGAAAACACAAGGGTCAGCCCTGGGGGCAAATTTGGATCTGTTATGTTGCAAAGTTGAGGCAAAAACTAGACAACCAAAAACCCTTAATTCACTATAAACAGGTTTGGTGTTAAATAATAATTCATAAGGAGATAAATTCTGTAAAAGGGGAGATGGCATTCTATTAATAAAAAAAAACAGAATGTAAAACTACAAATCCCCAGAAAGTGATAGGAAATGATGCTTGAAACATAAGAGCACGTGCAACAGCCAATATGTGTTGATGTTTCCTGTCAACACGACGATTTTGTTGGGAGGAAGCTACACAAGTTGTTTGGTGTACAATACCAAATTCTTTGTAGAAAGAAGGAATATTGAATTCTTGGCCATTATCAGTCCTTATTGTTTTAATTTTAGATGAAAATTGAGTGTTAACGAAGGCTGGCAGCTCTAACATGATTTGCCTAGCTTCACCTTTTGTTTTTAGTAAATAAATCCAAGTGTGTCGTGAAAAATCATCCACACAAGTGAGGAAATATCGAAACCCATCAATAGTAGGAGTCTGATATGGACCCCATATATCTAAATGAAGTAAGTCAAAAGGCTGAAGAGCATGAGAAGTACTCGAAGGAAAAGGGAGACGCTTTTGTTTTGCCAAATGACACACAATACAAGGAGTTTTATTATTACTGATAGGGGGTTTAACATCCTTGTCTAAGAACTGGGATAAGGGAACAGCAGTATGGCCAAGTCTGTAATGCCAAACATCAAAAGGAACATAGTCTGTATTGAAACAAGCATTACAATCTGATAGTTGAGACTTAGGAAGAGGCATGTTGAGATGATACAGGCCAGATTCTTGCTTAGCTGTACCAATCGTTTCGAGGGATGAAAGATCCTGGATTAAGCAAGAATCGGCTGTAAATTGTAGAGAACAGTTTGAAGATTTGACTAGTTTAGATACTGAAATGAGATTGAATGTGAAAGCCGGAATATACAAGACATCATATAAAATCAGTTTAGGAGTGATGGAAATGTTTCCTATGTGTGTAACCTTAACTTTTACACCATTAGGTAAAGACACAGACATGTTATGTATGGTTTTATATGTTTGGAACAAATTTAGCACAGAGACAACATGATCAGTAGCACCACTATCTACTATCCAATCCATAGAAGTGAGAACTGAATTAATAGAAGAAAGAACCGTACCAGTGTCTTCAGTGGGAACAAGGTTTAGACCAACAGGTTGTGGAATGTAACCCGAATCAACGGCCTGAGGAACTGTGCCAGAATCAGCAGTATGAGGGAGAACTCCAGAATCAGCTGAAGTGTGTGGATGAACCTCTGGTGTAACAGGAATCTGTCTAGCCGAGGTGATCAGATTAGCTACAGGAGTGGCAGACGGCCGCTGAACATGCTGAGTCTGAGTTAGCAAAGACTGGTACTGAGCTCTGGAAAGTACAACAGAATCATCAACCACTCCAGCAGGAGGATGAGGAGAATCAGAATCATTAGCCACAGTAGCATTAACTCGGCGATGCTTATATCCAGGAGGATATCCATGAAGCTTGTAACAGCGATCCACTGTGTGCCCGAATCCTTCACAATGAGTACAATAGGGCCTCTTCTTACCCCCACCAGGACCTTGAACAGAACCCTTGCCCTGACCAGAAAAATGACCTTGAACAGAACCCTTGCCCTGACCAGAAAAATGTTCCTTCGAAGTGCTATGAGCAGCAAGAGCAGTAGAGAATGAAGAAGGAGTACTCGACTGCCGTTCATGCTGAGCTAAGCTAGAGAAAACCTTATTAATGGACGGCAAAGGATCATTCAACAACAACTGAGACTTGATATGAGCAAAGTTCTCATTCAGCCCTTTCAGAAATCGAATGACCTGGTCCCTACGCACATACTCACGTGGAATCGACGAAGCAGAGCAAACACACTTAGGATTGCAAGTACACACAAGAAGCGGTCTGAGAATCAAGAATTCTTCCCATAACACCCTAAATTTGGTAAAGTAAGCACTGATCGACATTGAACCTTGTTTGAGAGCAGCAATTTCATCGTAGATATCCGAAATACGAATCTCATTACCTTCACTAAACCGCTCTCGAAGATCCTCCCAGGTTTCCACAGCTGTGTTGAACCAGAGTATGCTCTGTGCAATCTCAGGTGATACAGATCGCTGAATCCATCCGAGCACAAGGACATTAGCCTGATCCCAAGCACTCCAAAGAGGATCAGTCGGCGCTGGGACCGGTGAAGCAAAATCGATCAACGGGAGCTTATTCCTTGCATGCAATCCCATTCTCATCGATCGTGCCCAGCTGTGGTAGTTAGAACCAGACAGAAGCACCGTCACGAGCTGCTGAGCCGACAAATCGCCATTGGCCACAAAAAATGGGTGCGCCGATGAAAGCGAAGCTCCAAGGACACCGCTACCACCAGCCATGGAGCTCACTGGAGAAACACCGCTACCGCTAGGAGGAACACCGCCTGACGCAGCACCAGACGACGGCGGACCAAACGTCGCGTTGACAACAGAGAAGGATGCCATCGATCTAGATCCAAGACTGTGAAAAAGGCGACTGAAAGAAATCAAGAATCGCAAGAGGAACGAATCACGATCGTCGCAAGAAGAACGAATCGCAAGAAAACGAATGAAATCGTTACAGAGGAAGCGAAAACTGGATCGAATCGATCAAAGAACAATCGAGGAATGGAAACAGAGGTGAGAGAAATCGAACGAGCTGTTCACTTCTCCTGGAACCCTCGAGAAACCGAAAGAAAGAGACTAAATAGTCAAAGAAAGCAAGAACGGTGATTATCACGCTCTGATACCATGTCGTTTAGGGAAGCCATACGGCAGATTTTATTAATTGGAAAAGAAACCTTACATTATCCTTTACAGTACACATATATATACTACACACAAACTACCTAAACAGCACCTAAAGATTACAAATTTACATCTAGGTCCTCGTCGTTTCCTCCTTGGACAACTAAGTTTGGTCAGGTATATTTGGTTACTAAAATTATTTTATCAAATTCGTGATTACTACTTTTATTTCATTAGTTCAAGTTTTGTCATTCTTATGTGTATCAATCAACTCTCATATATAATTGATCATTAAATAAGTGACATGAAAATTAAAAAAAAATAATAAACAATAAAGTTTAAACTCTTACAATTGCAACCTCGTTTTTAAAAATATTAAGGGGTCGTTTGGAAGTTGTGAATGTTAAATCGTTGCATTGTAATGAATCACCATAATATAAATGCATATATTGATACAATGGATGCATTTTAACAATACATTGTTTGGTTGTTGAAATTCTACTTTATGCATTGATTTACATAAAGTTACTTTTATGGGGAAATGTTACATTTATCCTCAACTTTTAGAATAAGACAAAAAACTATTGTGGCTATAAATGGAAAGAAAAGGTTGACACAAATCTAAAACCAACAATCACAACAATCTCAACTTTTAGCTGAGATTGTATAATGCATCATTTTTTGTAATTGTGGGTGGGACCTACCTAAAACAATGCATGCATTGTTTAACATTTTGGCACTTCCAAACATTGTATTGTGCACAATACATGTATTCAACAAACACAACTCTAACAATCACAACTTCCAAAGGAACCCTAAAATTGAAACTTAAGTTCCTATTTTCCATAAACACTTGAACCCCTAGCTTTTGTCCTCCTCCACCACCTCCTCGTCGGAAGCAGAACCACCGAAAATACAACCCCGGAGCCACACCAGACATCTTGAATCACCATAGAATCGTCCTCATAAGTCGGGTTTTGGAGTCGATCGAAAGTCCTAATTGTTTGAAAAGAGACACAAGAAAGTCTTAATGGACTAGTTGTGGCAACGACCGGAAATAATCTCGTGGAGGGCTAATTAATAATTTTATTTTAAAAAATTATAAAGAGATATTACATTTTAAATAAAGATCAACTGTTATGTTTATTTTATTATACTAAAACACAATTTGTATTATATCTCAATTATTGAACAGGATCTTCACAATTTAATGACCGCTCTCTACTGAATAATTTAATGACCGGCGGTCGGCTGCCTTCTTCTCGGAACTTAGCCAGCAAGGTCAACATCTCCCGACGCCCCCACTCACCGCCACCGCAATCGTCCACCGGCCCCGTCTTTTCCACCGGCGCCGGCAGAGCCAGCCGGGTTCGGCAAAGCGGGCAAGACCAGGGGCGGACACAAGGGTGTTTAGGGGTGTCCCCGGACACCCCTAAATTTTGGGAAAACGATTATCCAACCCCCGATAGTAATTTACGTATTGACAAAAAAATTATAATTGATAGTCAGGGACACCCCTAAATTTAAAAAAGTGATTATTCTACTCTCATCTTTTAGTTTGAGTATGAGAATATAAGTCGTAGTTTGGGTAATTCAAACCTAGGACACTTTTATTATCAATAAACATAATTTTCATTAGGCTACAACTCATATGTTATTCGATTTTAAACACTATGTAATAGTATAATGTCATTCTCTATCTCTAATTATTTTCAAAATCTAACAATTAAACAAATTTCAAGCTACCCTTAATTTGTATTGATTTATGGTTGTACAACAAGTATTGAAAGAGTCTTTTCAGCTTTGGATTACATCAAGAACAAGTTTAGAAATTGAATATGTGATCAGTTCGTGAATGATTGTCTAATATGATATACAGAGACAATTCTTTTTTAATAGTGTAGACCCCAACTCCAAGTGTGTTCTACAATCATTTTTTAATATGAAAACACATTTTGAATTTTTTCAAACTGTATGAGTAAAGTATTTCTTATTTAAATATTATTTATTTTTTATGAATTATTTTAGAATTATTTGTATTTAATTAATTTTTTAAAAGAGGACACCCCTATGTAAAATTTCTGGGTCCGCCACTGGGCAAGACGACCCTTCCAAACCCGCCGGCGACGTCAGCCATCTGTCGAGGCAGTCGCGGTGGAACACGTGCTTGCAGTCCAGCTTCCTGACGCTTTCCCCTTTGTGAAAGTCCGAGAGGCACACCGCGCATTCCGCCGCCGATTTCGGGTCCGAGCAGTAGGGGGCCGCCGGGAAGTTGGCCTCGATTGAGCTGACCCGATTCTGGTCGGATCGGTCCGCGGGCGGGTCCGACCCGGGTAAGGAGCGGAGGAGGACCCGGAATTTGAGGAGGAGGAGGCTGGAGAAGAAGAGGGCGACGGTGTAGAGTTCGGAGAAGATGGTTGGGATCATGCTCGCCATTTTTAGTATGATGAGCTGTTTGATACTAGATTTGTGGGGGGAGAGAATGAGAAAATAAGGATTAGTAAAGATTTACTAGATTGCTGTAGGGATAGAGAAACTGACTCAAGATAGGGTGCATAACCATGAGTTATGCATCTATCTATAACCAAATCTGGACCCTTCATTTAGAAAATCCAGATCTAAGGATGGAGAATTAAAGATCTTTTTTATTTTCTCTAGCTTTCTTAATCGGCTCATATCTTTTTCGTTTTAACTCGGATTTTAATTTTTTTTGCATAGGTGAAACGAGTTCATCGTGCTCTACAAAATGAGATCAATTTTCAATATTTTTTTAGAACAAAAAATTCTGGCCTCTCGGTACCAACTGCATACCATATGGTATTTTCTTCATTTTTAATTCGTTTTTGAAAACGTTTGCACAGAAGGGACGAGTTCATCATGATCTATTGGATCTACAAATTTATGTGTGAACACATTACAGGACCAAAAAATACCACACAATACCATACAATACCACCCTGGTACGGGGTGGTATCTTGTGGTATACAATGTTAAAAGTCGTAAATGACAATTAATATATTTCTACTATCATGTATTTAACCATCCTACAGTCTTGGTTTGTTCATACCACCATGGTACTTTTTTCAAACCATAGGTATGCTTTTATTTCAATACCAGTCAATACCATATGGTATAGACTGTTACAAAATGGCTCAATTTTTTTTGTTCGTAAAATATATTAAAGTGGATATCATTTTGAAGAACACAATTAATCTGATCTAACTGTGCAAAAAAAATTAAATTTCAACTTAAAATGAGTGAGAAATCGTCCGTCAAAGATTAAAGAAGGGAAAATTAAAGGCTTTCCAGGAGAGAGAGGATGCTGATGTCATGCTGATGTGGACGGGTTACTCATGTTTACTCATCACAAGGTTACTCACCGGATCTGCTCCCGAGAAAACTTGGTTGAAGGATGAGACGATGAGTCACGTAATAGGTAATATGTAAATAATGTTTTAGAATTTTATAGAAGGGATGTGACGTGGATATTATTGTTTGGGCAAAACTTGGCTGCAGCAAGGGTTGCACCCCACGACTGCTTCCCATCCATGTGGCATCATCTGATTGGTTTAAATTAGGTTAATTAATCGTTAAATATTAAGTGGATTTGGATGGTACGGAGTGTAGCATTGACTGAGAAGCACTACAGGATACACTGATATCAATTTCCTCACCTTAGTTTATACGCTTTATTTTATTTATATTTCTGATTGCAATTTTTATTAACTATAAGGGGAAATAAACAATTAAAAGGATGTCTCTCCCTTTAGGTTTTAGAGAAATTTTACAATGCTATATAGTATTGGTGCTATAGGATTTTGTCTTTATGGTACAACTTAAAACTGTACATTTACGTTATGGTACAACTTCAGATTGTACCTATACTTTTTGTACAAATTCTTTTATGGTACAACTTGAACTTGTACTTTTATGTGATGGTACAACTTCAAGTTGTAAAGTTGTACCATAACATAATGGTACAAATTGCTTTATGGTACAACCTAAACTTATACATTTAATGTTATGGTACAACTTTAAGTTGTACATTAAAGCACCAATACTATATAGCATAGTAGAAGTGCTCTTAGGTTTTATTGTTTGCGTGACTCTACTCTTTGTATAAGTAATATATCATTCACTCGGTGATTATTCGATTTGATTATTTATCTAGTTTAATTATATTCAAAATATCAAGACTAATATTATTTTATCTTATTTCATTTTTCAGGATGCAGTACAAATTCACAGTTACATGTTCCTCCCAACCCATTGCCTCCGTTCCCGTACATGCAACTAAAATAATTATTTTACAGTCAAGAGAAGTATTCACCTAACCAAAATATATGCAATAGTTTGGGGTTAATGAATTGTTGTGTTTGTGTGAATTGACTTAGTCTATTAGCAATTATCATAGGCCAAAAATACATTTCTTTCAAGTTTTCCACCAACATAATATATGAGTTTTATCTAAATTATGCATCCTTATGTTATGGTCTACACTCTACAAATACAAATATACATTATAGGAACGATAATAAGCTTTATTTTTTATGAGTCTAAAAGGGAGTAACATTTGACTCTTGAGTGGTTATGCAAAATAGTAAGATGCATATAATATATATTAGATATATGACTAACTACTTAACTGATTAATTTGATTTAATTGGTTCGGAGTGTCTGAAACCAAACGAAACAAACTAAAAAATTAAACATAATCAAACCTATTATCCAAATTAACCAAACTAAATTATACAAATACAACTAATTAAAACAATTACCACGATAATTAACCACTCAGTTTAAACACCTCTAATGTGCTACCCTCGCCACCCCATCTCCTCGTAAAGTGTAGTACCATGTACTTGTTTATGAGAGCACCCTTTTAAATTTTAATAATCTCTTTTCAGTTTTAATTATAAAATATGTTATCACACATATAAATAAAATAAAGCTTATCAAGCAAGGTAAACAAATTGTGCCCTGTTCACTTCCCATTTCATTTTCTGTTTTTTGGTTAAAAAATGAAAATCAGGAAACAAATGGACATAAAACGTGTTCACTTGACCATTCCATTTTCCTTGGAAAAACCCAATTATTACAATTGGGAAAACCATTAATACTCGTTTTCTGAATAGAATGGGATGGGTTACCCCCTCGTTTCCCAGCGGAAAACGTACTAATCCCTCAAACCGACCTACGTTCGATTCACCACAGACGCATTTTTTTTACCCTTTTTTGCCCTCCTAAGCGCTGCCGTTTTTGTCCTCCTAAGCGCTGCCGTTTTCCTCCAGCAACCCTAGAAGAGAACTGTCGTCTTCCTCTCCTCCCTCCACGTTCGACTCGCCGCCATCGTCTTCCTCTGCTCCCTCCAGCCTCTCCTCCCACTTCGTTCGCCACACCTTGCCGCCATCAACATCTCGCTCGCCTCCCACTTCGGCCGCCATCGTCTTCCTCTCCTCCCTCCACGTTCGAATCCCACTTCGTTCGCCACACCTCGCCGCCATCGTCTTCCTCGCCGCCATCAACATCTCGCTCGCTCGAGGAAGTAAAGAAGGGGAACTGCTTAAGACTCATATAAGGGTTAATTTCGTTGGAGCAGATTGCTACTGTCTATGACTGGCTTTAGAAGATCACTTAGGCTTCTAGTCCGGCCTGCACCAGTGCTCGTAAAACCGTCTCGACCTTCTCCTTCTGGTAGATGAACAAATACCCAGCATCTTCAACCTCGTGGTACTGAATCCACGGAATATTCTCTGTCAAGTAACGATTTATCTCGCGAGGAATGATCCTGTCCTCCGCGCCTTGCCAGATGTGGACCGACCCATCGTTGTTGGGGAATGGGTTGATCAAGTCCGTGGGGTCGAATTCCCATTTCGAGTACCCGGCAAGTATGCCTCTGTATAGAGATTCATGAACACCTTGCTGCTTCACTTTCTCCTGAGAAAAAAAGTTTCATTAACAAAGTCAATAAGCTTTTCATAGCTTGAGAATGACATTAGTGGAACTAGTAGTAGTAACATAACAATGGTACCTGATGTGGATTTGGAGATTTCGACATCTCAGCAATCATCTCCATGTCTTGAGGGCAGAAGACGGCCATGTTTCCAGCGGTGAGGCTCAAGGAAGGGAACCATTTCTGGGTCATCCACCAGTGGAACAGCCAAGGAGCATAGTAAGCAACGCGAAATGCCCTGCTATCCATGGGAAGAAGCTTCTGTAAGCCGTCCCTCGATAGGTTTGCAAGTAGACATGGCCACCAGTAGTGCACAAATGGAACCACCAGGGCAACTCCAGCCAGCCTGTGGGAAGAAAAAACTGGTGAAACATATTCCAACTCTCTGCTCTTAGAAACAGATAGGGCATAACCAAAATCTCTAGTACTGAACATGCCTATGTGGTATATAATTCAGACAGCTATAGGCAGGATAGGCACCCATCGAGATCCCTATGACATAGAATTTAGACCCAATCTGCAACTTATCAGCAAGTTCTTCAATATCATACGCTTCGCTCTTGACCGATCGGGAAGGATATGGATCGCTCTCTCCATATCCTGCCCTATCGAACGTCAGCACATATAAGCTCATTTCCTCCATAAGTTCCTGGAAGATAGCCAAGGAATCAAACATCAACAAAAGTCGAGTATTTTATTGCTTTGATGTTCCTTTGAAGGCTAGATTCCCCATTTTGAAGCATATGCTTCCTTTCGCTCTCAAGAAACAAGGACACATTGTTCTTGCATGTTGTGTTATACATAACTTTATTAGGATCCACTCTGGTGACGACACTCTGTTTGAAGGTGCTCAAAATTATTGCACGGGGGATAATGCCAATGGAGTGCAAGGAGGACAAGAACGAGAAGCATATAATCATAGTTCAAGCCAAACTCGAGCGATGGATGCACGACGAGATGAAATAGAAAACAAGTTGTGGGATGACTTTCAAGCTGGACTCATTTGAATTTTTATGTTGTACTAGTACTTAATTAATATAAGATGTTGTACTTGTATTGTGTTTATTTGTAGTTTAAAAACTATTTAATTCGAATTAAAAATTATAACCATGGCTAGGGTTGTATGATAATCAAGAATCAGAAAACAGAATGAAGCAACTAAACAGGATTTCTTTTTAGAACTCAGTTTCAGAACTCACCAAAATTCTCAGCTAAACAAGATTTTTTCAGGTTTTGTTTTCCAGGAAATGGTCAGCTTCGTTTTCATTTTAATTTTGTTTTCTGTTGTGGCAGCTAACAGAAATGGAATGGCAAGTAAACGGCCCATGAGTTTATTTGTCATCTCCGTCTATGTCCCGTCCAAAAAAGCCGTCAACTCTGTCCCGTCCAAATCCTATTAACATTTAATGATTAATTAACATAATTTAAGGGATTGCTAATTGTCACCCTAGATTTTCTATAATTGCCCTAACTTAAAAGTTGAGATTAGCACATTACCCTTCCTTTTTTCATATTAAAAATATTATTCTAATAATCAACCGTCTCCGCCGCAGGCTAATTCCCGTCGCCAACAGCGGTCTTCCATGGATGGTGTTCTTCGCAAAATTGGAAGTTTAACGAGTTGAAAATGGATCAACGGAGGTTGGGTGGTGGATTCAATAACCATAATTAATCCAAATATATTGATTAACCGCCTCTTCCGCAGGCTGATTCTCGTCACCAGCAGCCGCAAAATTGATATTTTGCCATCAGTCACCACTCCCGTCGGCCGTCTCTAGTAGCTGCGAAATTCTCGTTGCAAGTGCGAGATGGTGTTCTTCGGCGGGAACCGATTGTTCGACCGACGGCAGTGGTCGCTGGGTGGTGGTGATCGGCGGTGAAAATTCTCGTCGCAAGTGCGAGATGGTGTTCTTCCACGGACACCGGTTGACCAACCGATGCCAGTGGTCGATGGGTGGTGGTGATCGACGGTGATTATTTAGAGAAAAAGGAAGATTATAGTTATTAAAGATTCTTTATTTTATTGAATTTGATTTGAATGATGAAGGATAATTTAGTAATCTCACAGTTTAATTAAGGGCGATAATAGTAAAATTAGGGCGAGATTTAGCCATTTAGTAATTAAACCAATCAAATTATGCCACATAGATGGGTAGCAGCAGTGGGATGCAACCCAAACTGTAGCCAAGTTTCGCCCTTATTGTTTCCTCCTTTTATGACCAAGCAAGCTTCTATTTCATAAAAAGGAAAAACAATTGTACATAATAACATGTCAAAGATAAAGGAAAGTTCAGCCTCTAGAAATGGAAGTACTAATCAGTTAATAAAGCTATAGGTTGTTAGTGTATGTCATTCACCATCATTGAGCTTTCGAGTTATTGAGACTAGCTAATTGGTTCTTGATAAGTATTAGAGCCTTTTGTGGATGAAAAGTCTTTTGTTCGCATTGGTGACCTGATTTCCGGACTGTGCAAACGTCAAACTTGTATAAGTGGCTTGAGTTTGAAGAAGCGATAAGATCCATTATTGAACATGTCTCAACAATTTGAGTTATTGAGACTAATTGATTCTTGATGCATGGAACTGTAGCTAATTGGATCTTTGTGTTAATCGAACATTGTCAAATGAAGTATGTCACCCCATGACGAAGAATCCAATAATTGTTTTATTTTTTCTATTTCTATATTTCTAGCTATGAGCCCTTCTACTTTGGAGTTTCGAAGTACAAATGGAACTTGTATCAGATAACGTTAAAGATATAAGTTTAGTTTGTACCATTAATAAATTTGTACATTTATGTCATGTTACTAGTCTAGTTACTTTTGTGCAATAATATAAATGTACAAATTCAATATGTACTATAAAAGAATTTGTTACAACCAATATATGTATCACATAATTAAAAGTATAAGTCAGTTTCTATCTAAATGAATTTATACAAAAAGTTATATATATAAACTGAATTTGTACAGTAATCTAAAGCTATAATTTTAGTTTGTATAGTTTTTTTCTAAAACCAAAACATATGTAAAAATCATGTTCCGGCAAGTATTATGAATCATGCCAACTACTTGTCAAGAGAGGATAAGCGTTGGAGAGACATGCAATAACGGAGACAATGATTATTAATTAACTAGTTTAATTATTCTGGTAAATATGGTCGATTTGATTTGGACTTCAACTTATGTGATCCGTGGAAACATTCAGATTGACAACGCACATAATAGCATAAAGAAGAACTATTATCATAATTGGCGAGAAGGTCGGTGGAGGACGCGATTCTTACCTTAATCGGTGGACTTGCAAGTTATTAGTTATTAGGTGTTCTTCTTCTTGCTCGAGGTTTTGGTGCGATTTGCTTGTGTTGAAGTTTTTGGCTGCTTGTTGTTTGGTCTGCGTCGAGGTAATTCATAGTTATAGTAGGATTTTATGTTTCGCATTGATTCCGTTCTGTAATTTGTTATTGATTTTGTGTGTATATGATTTATCTGCGTTTTCTCTTTTGTGCTCTCTGTTTTCTGTTCTTGGTGATCTGTTTGTATAAGGTTGATCATGTTTTCTTTTTCGTTCTGTGTTTTGTCTACGCTTTTTTTTTTTGTTCAGTTGATTGATCCGTAGTTAAATTTATGTTTTGTGCATGAATCTTTTGAATCTTCCCTGTTGACTCAGCTTTTTTGTGCAATGAGTGATCTTAATCAAGGCGTCATTGTTCCCTTAAATGGATCTATTACTGGATCTAGTTCTTCTCATAGCGTTGTTGAATCGAGCGGTACGAATTTTAAATGTGTATGGTAAGTTGAAATTTGAATATATGTTATACCATACAATACCATGTTATCTCATAAAATACCATATTGGTATTGTATGGTATTTTTTGCATATGAGTGTTATTGTGTTTTCTTTGTTATAGATTGTTATTATAATTGTTGTGGTTTTATGTTTCTATATATAGTTCGTGATTGGAATAATTTTCATATAATACCATGGTGGTATGTGTAGTATTCTTTTATTTTGTTATAGAGTTTCTTAATGTAATAAACTTTACCATATTATACTACGGTGGTACTATATTTTTTACAGAATTAATGTTTCATTCTTTTTATGTTTTAGGTTTTCATGGTATAGATCCTAATGTTCGAAGTTCCTGGAACAACCTTGAGTTCTATACAGTTGATGATGCATATGGATTTTGTGTGGATTATGGAAACTATAAAGTTTTTGCTGTGAGAATTTACCATTAGTCGGCATGTTCAAAGCTTAATAATGGTTCAAAGGCAGTTTATTATATTAAATATTATTGCAATAAGGAAGGCTGGAGGATTGGTAGCGAGAATAATCCTGCTAATCGTGGTTCTATTGATGTGAAAGCTCGTGTTCGTCGTGTTCCAAAAATCAGGGGTGGATGTGATGGTGCTTATATTCGAATGAGGTGGTTTAGGGAGTTTAAGTGTTATAAAATTTATAAGTGGTGTGATGTGCATAATCATGACGCGATTCTTGAGAGTATGCGTCACTATATGAGATCGAATAGAAAACATGCTCCTGTCTATATGTGGTCTACAACTTGAATGTGAAATTCCAGCACATTCATTCTACTTTGATTTTGAGGCGATGGACAAGGACAACAAAAACTGGTGGAAATTTTGGATTTGCAGTTTCGTCTACTGATAGTCCATCAAAGTATCGGTCTCGTCTATTCAATATTTCAGTTGTTTCTGCATAGCTTATCAGTAGGGTTTGTTTGAATGATGATTTGCATAAATCAACCATGGATTTCATGAGTGAATTGATCAAGAAGTGTGAAGCTTTACCAATTGTAGAAACAGCTGGTGCTGGTGGATCGACTAACTGTGAGAGTAAGTTCCCCCAACCCCCCCTGTTGTGTATATGATTTTGTTATTTTTTTGTTTGCCAAGTTTTTTTACCATGTTGTACCATGTGGTATAGGGTGGTTTCGATTTGTTACTTTTGATGTTTTGTAATACTATGCGGTATAATGTGGTATATGTTTAATTTGTGATAAGTTTATTGTTTCTTTCTTTCTTTCTTCTGTTGCAGTATTTCATTCCTGTGATGGTGTATATAATTTGTGATTTTTTTTGTTTGCGAAGTTCTTTTACCATGTTGTACCATGTGGTATAGTGTGGTTTTCTTTATTTTTTCCTGCTAATGTGTTGGAATACCATGTGGTATAGTGTGGTTTTCTTTATTGTTTCTGCTAATGTGTTGGAATACCATATGATCTTATGTGGTATATGTTTTCGGACTGATAAGTTGAATGTTTTTTAGTTGTTCATTTATGTCTATTATTGATAGTAGTATGTATTTCTTATTGTAGGTGATGTTCCAGTTCGAAAGGTGAAGGGGTTTAAGCCTAAGAAAGAGTCATTCAAACCTTCGAAATGACCAATTACAGAAACTGAGATTGGAAGGGCGGCTAGTAGGAAGAAGAAAAAGACTATTAGTTTGAAAGACGATAGTTTGAAGGCTGTGGAAGAAAGTCTAAAGTTGAAGTTGTGATAGTTGTTTGAAGGATATCGAGTTTTTTTAGCTGTTTTGATGTTGTTGTGATAGTTGTTTTCAGAAATAATTAGAGGTCTATAGTAGACATTAGGTTCATACTGATGTTCTCTCCTTCCTCACTTGCCTTGTTTCTTCATAGCGCAGTACTTTGTG